TAATTCTAAAAGTAGTTGAATCATTTTCACTAGAATTCTCAAAATTATTATAATTAGGTGTCATTCAATCACAAAATCAAAATCAAAAATACAAATAAAGTAAATGGGAATTAGTTATACAATTTAAGGAGAGTGTCATCATGACACGTGATTCGGTTATTCAAATTCATACTAACCTTAACATAAACATCAAAATGAAATTACCATATTTAAGTAACGGCTATTAATAATATTTATCTATCTATCACCTTTTTTTCTAATTAAAAAAAGTAAAAGAAAAAAATAAAAAACAACCTTCTTCAAAAACCACTCGTTTCTGCAAATTTCTCGTTTTTTAATCTAAAACTAAAGTAACCAATAAAAAAATGTAAGTACCGCAGGCTTTAGTTGTAATTTTATTATTATAATCTTTCTAGTTGAAAAGAATGTGGCTGGTTTTTATTACAGCTTTTGTTGTGAATTCCTTCCTCTTTTTAATTCGTTCGCAACTTACGACTTTGTGCAAAACGTCTATATAGCTAACACTGAATATATTCTTTACGTATAGGTCTTATGACCCTTTTGTTCCAAAAGATGGTGCCGCTGGCGGGCCACCCTCAAAAACTCAAAATATTCAAAAACAAATTGACGATACGGTCGGTATTATGCGTGAAAATATCAACCAAGTGGCTCAAAGAGGTGAAAGATTAGATGCATTGCAGGACAAGACTGGTAAGAATAAATTATATATTATTATTAAAATTAATGAACGAAGGTTAATTTTCTTTTACTTCCTTTTGCATAGAAAATTTGACCGTATCTGCGCAAGGCTTTCGCCGCGGTGCTAACAAAGTACGTAAGCAAATGTGGTGGAAGGACATGAAAATGAGAATTATCATTGCCTTTGTAATAGTCGTTATATTGTTGGCGATAATTTGTGAGTATAAAAAAGAGAGTTATTTAATTTTTTTTTTTTTTTTTTTTTTTTTTTAAAACGATAACAATAAAATGTTCTAATTTTTTTTTTCATTTTTTTTTTAGTGCCAATTGTCCTCAATAGTAATAAAAATAACGATAAAGATAAAAAGCAATGAACTTCAATCCTTTCTTGGTAAACAAGAGGTTGCATTTTATTCCATTACCTTCCTTTCCTTTTTTTCTTCTCGTGTTATTATTATGATTTCTTTCTTTTTAACCAAACTATTCAGTATCCTAGTAATATTAATTTTTACTTAATACATTATAATGATCTTTTTTTTTTTCGCTTATATTATTATTATGGTATGATGGACTATTTTTTTTTTTTTTTTTTTTTTTTCGCAATAGATATTAAAGGTTTGGTTTTGCTTTGAAAAAAGAAAAAAAAAAAGTTATCAATATCAATTTGCTTTCGCAGTATTTTTATTATTATCATTATCTGTATATTACGCGAATTTATCTTGCACAGTCAGTTTAAACAAAACATTTAAAAAAATCATATTAAAATATTTGATCTTTAAAATTTTAATTTCGTTACTTTACATATTTAAAAACGGTCTTTTACCGGTATAGTTCTATCCGAAAAATGTATATTTTTGGAATTTATTAAGTAATAAATTTTAAATTGATTTTTTTTTTTGTTTCAATTGTCTGATCGACCGCAAGTTTTAGATCCTAAATATGGAAACACCATGATATTATAAATTACAAGTTAAAATGTACCAATCCCGATACCTAAATCGATTCACGTGATAATACAGTAAAATATGCCCTAGATATAAATAAAAAATTTTTTGAATGGATTTACCTTTCGTCAAGGGTAAATTATCTGAATGCTGTACCAATTTTGAAATTCTTGAAATCTGAAAGATATGTCACGTTCAATTTACCTTTTTTTACTACTATTGCTTACCAAAGAAAAAAAATTACACGTGAATTATAACAAGTTTTGTTATAAATACTATTTACGAGATTTGTCGCAAGAGAAATTGCAACATTAGGATATACATGATTTAATTTCGAATCTCCGAACCTAAAGCAAGAGCATTTCTGCTAATATGATACAATTACTCTGAACCAATTATTTTAAAAGTAGAAAAGCTCCGCTATGATAGAAATTTATTTATATATAAACTCTAAAATGTGTTAAACTTTAAAACGATATAAAAGACGTTGTTCTATATTCCATAAACTTTTTAATCAATTCAACACTTAAAATCAGTGTTAAAGAAATTGATATAAAGTATTACAAAATTGTAATGAGAAAAGTTTACGAGACTTTTGCTTGTATTTAATAGACATGAAATGAGAACAGTAAGTACGTCACTAGTCAAGACGCGACTATCCAGGAGAAAGTTTATAAATAACATCCTTCTTCCCTCCAATATCTGTAGACTCTTTCTTTCTCTTTCCTTTTTTTTCTTTCTTTCTACTCTTTCGCTCCTTTATATTCTTACGTTAACCTAACGAAATATACCTTCTCGTTATTTTTAAGTAACCACATAAGTAACTGCAACAAAGTTATCCTCGAAACCAAATAAAGTATTTTTTTCGAACAAAAATTCATTTTGGTGAGTGAAGCAAGCTTCTAGCAAGTATAAGATAGATATATTTAAATGATACAAAGGCGTGCATATAATATTTACGATATGATAAGGTTGTGGTCAAGCCTTTTATAATTGTAGTTAACGATTTTCTTTGACAATTTCTAACATAAGTAACTTCCCAAGGACATTTGACCACGAACGTACCCGATGCAATCAAGTCCAATGATGACAACAAACAAAAAGAATAGGGACGAAATTAAACAATTATGTGATAACCTTGATGAAGGTTACTGCGCCATGACTTTTTTCGCTCTATCCTCAAGTTATATAATACGCGTTATCTCTCATTTCGTTACCTCTAAATTGAGATTTATGTTCCTTTGTACCGTATAGTTAGAATTGACATGACTCCACATGGAAAACAACCTCAAAATAAGGAAAATAAAGAAGTTAGCCCTACTAACTCTGAAGATTCATCATCATCGGGTCATTCCAGCCGTTCAAGTAATCAAACTAGTTCCACTCTTCTTTCTGAGAATTCTTTGTATGAAAATAAGTATACGGAGGATACAAAATTGGACGGAAATTCTTTCTACTATAATGGACGTTATGATCAAGTACTCTTTTTTTTTCATACCTAATATTTGTTTATTTTTTTCAAGAAATTTTTTTTTAACATGTAATGCTTTTTAACCATCTTCTCTTTTAAAAGTCAAAGATAATTAAAGAAGATATTAGATTACGTCAAGGTTCACCGATCACCTCTCTAGATGACGAGGCTATGCTCCATACACAATATGTCGAAGCAACCATGCACGAAAAAGCTCATAAAGAATTTGTAATCCCACAGACAAATCCACGATCCGCTTGTATCACGTGTATCTATGGAAACATTTTATTGAAGCCTTGTGGTCATAGGTATTTTAATTTCATAAATATTTATTATCAATGCATAAAGTTTAACGAAAATGAACGTTAATCAAAGGATGTGTGAATCATGCGTTAAAAAATTGCGTTGTAATGATTCTTTCAAGTCATACTCGGAATGCATACACTGCGGAAAGGTAAACCTTTCAATTAAACTTTTTTCCTTTTCGTTATAACATAAACAAATTTTTTATTCATATCAATGTTATTTATTAGGCTATTGTAGAATTTAAAACAATTTCTTCAATTCCTCCTGGAGGGGGTTTCTTTCCAACTCCGTTAAATTCTGGTGACAAGACGCAAATTACTAATAATGTAAAATTAAGTGTGCAAAGCATTCCGGAACAAATTCCTTTCGGTTCAGTATCTTGGGTTTTCCCAGGTATCACACCTTCAAATGCCCCATCGGGAATGCAAACTATGACCGGCGTTGTTGCTAATAGGTCCCACCAAACCCAATTTGGAGACCTTAGCAAACAAGCAGTTCCGCATAACTGGCCTGTTATAAAGCTTACAAACGTAAATTTTTAAATGTGCATTTCTCGATATTTTTAATATAATGATTATTTCTTTGAGGAACTTAAAAAAAAAAAAAATTTCTCGACAAATAATTAAAGATTCCTTGGGATATTTCCTTGAAGGAAGTAAGAACTTTTTTCTCGGCTTTCAAGATGCCTAGCATATCTTCGTATGGGCAGAATATTCATATTATCATGGATCGGTAAGTAACATCACGACGCGTTTTAATTCATATATAGAAAACCAATAAATTTCTATTAAAAACATCAACAGTTCAACGGGCAAAACTCTCTCAGAAGCTTATGTTGAATTTGCAACAATTGCAGAAGCGCAACGCGCGGTGGATGCACGTAATATGAAACCTTTAAAGGGACGTCTTATCTCGTGCATGAGATCATGTCATGAAGATTTGATGAGAGCGGTGTTTCCAAAGTGGAAAGGGGAATTTTCCGGATGTGACGCGGTTGTCACTGACGAGCTATTACAATCATCTCGTTTTGTGTCGCGCATTCCTCTTATCACGAGAGAAGAGATTAACTCACTTCTTGTGGTTTGCCGTAATTATAAGGTAACCGTTAATTTGCAAAAATCTTTTGAGTCATGGTCTCGATTTTAATTGGTACAATTAATTTGTTCATTTTTTTTTTTCAAAAGCTTCATTTTTCTCGTAAATGCGCAGAGCGTCCATTTGAGAATATCATTAGTGTTCTCGTTAAGGTAATTATATCGTATTTAAAATAAAAAATAAAAAGTTTCAAAATTATACTCATTCCTGTATAGTTTCCTTTTCACCAAGGAAATCTTTATACCACGCTGCAACGTGATCTTTTGTTTGAGATGTTAAAACGTAAGTTACCTTTTTTTTTAAAAAAAACAAAAAAATGAATAGTTCGTAATTATATACTAAATTGTCTTTATTCTAGTCTCAATCGAATCGCTCAAAATTCATTTGCGCAAGGATTACCATCGTATTGACGAAACCTTATTGGAAAGAATGGTAATTTTTAACACGTGTATCTCAATTTTGAATTTGCTGCGGGCGCAGCACGAAACTTGACAGTTGTTTCCTTTCTAATTAAGGTGCGAGCTGGTATTTTGACACCTGTATTTACCGAACGTCAAAAATCAATGATTCTTCAAGTGTCTAATATGAAACTCCCCGAGGATTTACAAGAACATTTATTTCCTTATCAGAAGGATGAAGAATTGCGGCAAAATGGCAAAGATTACACTCAAAATGTATTTAATTATTTTGTTTCCATCTTTTAATCTTTTTAATAATTGAACTCATTTTTATTTTACATAATTTTGATAAGCAACCTGATCAAACTTCATCCGCTATATCTGACTCGGTAGGATTGAACCTACTTCCCTCAGGATTACTTGACGTAAAACTTAACGAATCAAGTGTCGAATATAAAGATGAACTTGACCCTTTCAAAACTGATTATAAGACAAAGGCAAATTTCTTGCATAAAGAATGTAAGTTTTTCTATGGCTCTAATCCACGATATCACGCGACTCATGTTTTCCACAAATTATAATAAAATAGTGAAATTAGCACAATCACAAATCAAAACTGCAGTGGCTAATATACCTCGTATCAATATTCCTACGTTTAATCATCCACAAACTCCTCGAAATGGTCCAATTCAAGCATTTGATGTATGGAATAGATTAAATGAAAGACGATACAAGGATCTAGGAGGGTTAGCAAATTATATTATAAAAATATGAAAAAATACTTTTTTACTTTTAAAGATTGCTTATTAATGTCACAGCTTCGCGATTGGAAGATCACAAATTATGCCTCAAAACAGAAAGCCGCACTTTATGAGTCCAACGGGAAGACAGCAAATTGTTCCTTCACCTGCACTTTCTCATCAACCTTGGAGTTTGCCTATTCAGCAATACCTTGATGACAATCCTTTTTTCGTTAAAGATCACGAAAATAATAGCTCTGCTTAATTTATCTTGCTATTATATATATACGGAACAATGTTTTTTTATATTTTCGCTTATAGTACTTAGCAACTTTGATGCATTTTTTAATGTATCTCAATTATATTATAATAATAAATATGCGGTTTAAATTTATAGTCTAACTACACAAAAAAAAAAAAAATAATACCCCCCCCAAAACCTTATATTTAAATGATTTTTTCGTCTGGGTTTTAAAATAAAAAAAAGTTAAATTGAATACTATTTATAAAATCATAATTTCAATTTCATTGATCTGTACGGCACAAAACCCTGACGAACACGCTATTGTGGAAGCTTTAAATACTGTTTATAGTGTATATCATTTTTCGGAATAGACATTGATGAAAGGCGTGACTTTCATGAGATTATATAACGATTTTAATACAAAAAAAAATCCAATCGAATTGACCTTAATTTAACCGAGTTATGCGCAGTTTCATTCCGCGGAAAATTTTCCGGATTTTTTGTATGATATATCTTTTTTTTGTTTCTCACTATAGCTTTACTTGCGGCAGTGCTGGCTATTGGATTAGGGATGGGTTCGGTTCTATATAGTAGAACTGACCACCCATAAAATTTCAGTCTAAAACCTTAGAAGGATATTTTGCATAGAAGGTGGTTTAGTCAGCATTCTATAGTAGTTACTGTACTTTTTGAGATAAATAAGTAATGTTGTATTTGCAATAAGCAATATGATTGGTTGGAATTTGCTGAGCGGAGTTCAGCAAATTCCACTTGATCTAAGGCACGGCAGTGCCGCAGTTACGAGGTCACGTAGTGCTGAGTAACTGTTTTATCGGTTTACACAAAATAGTTTAATTTAAAAACTTTATTAGACTATTTTTTAGCTTTATTAAACCATTTTTCATAAGAACAAATGATATTTCTTTTTTCTTTTACGCGTCTTTTTCCCAAAAAAATTTTTTTTTCTTTTGATAATATAAATGACAAAATATTTCATCCAAAGGTAATCAATTACCCTCCCTTGAACAACTATCAGCACTTGCGAAAGGTAGAGTTCTTCAAAACACAATTGTCAAGAATGTGACGATAGTTTAAGAAATATTATAAAAATTACACTTTTCAATAAATAAATTAATAAATAGTTATTTACAATTTGACATAATAACTAATTGTACTAGCAAAAATCATCAATTAGTAAATGACCGATAAAACCTTTTTATCATAACCTTCTACTGGATGTCTATATAAGGTGATACATATTATCTGACTTTAAATTTGAATTGATTATGATTGGTCTCTTTATTAAACTTGTATTTTAAACTTAACAATAGTTTTTGAAACCATTATTTCTTTTACTGTTAAGATCATTATATAACCTACATATTGCATGAATTTTTTCCTTTACTTTGCACTATTATTATGCAATTTTTGTCAATAAAAGTCCTAATCCCACATATCTTATATAGTCACATTCTCTTATAATAAAAAACAAATACATTTGCTTTTCTTTCCAATCTTCATAATGTGTCTAGACATCTTTATAGTGGCCTAAATTCAAATTTACTTTTAAATCTAGCAGTTCCTTCGACTAGTGTCATTTGAATTGCTTGTTTCAATCATTTGTTTTTAATTTTGTGATTGAATGACACCTAATTATAATAATTTTGAGAATTCTAGTGAAAATGATTCAACTACTTTTAGAATTA